TGGTCAGGCTCGCTGACTTGGTTGATGCAGGTCATCGTATCCCAATTGCATGGATCGATGATCATGATGTCAATGACTGGATTGTTTGGTCCAGACTCAATTATTTACAGACCACTGTCATATAGCTGGAATATCGCTGAGTGCAGTGTTAAACAACAAACAAACAAAAACTTTAATTGTGAGTTTGGATAAGGAAAATAAATATGACTTTTTTAAACATGACTTGTGTCAAGTTGGTATTTTCTGTGTAGGTCATGTTTCATGTGTCTATATTGATGTATGGGGGATGATGATGTGTTTTATTTGATGAGATGCAAAGCCAATTTCCGTTGGGATAATAAAGTTATATCTTATCATATCACAGATACTGTACAACCAAATCACTTCGAACATTCTACGATTCTATCTGGCATGTGTGTTGCCCCTTTGTCTGGATGAACCCGTATCTGGTGTAATATCGACAAAAGTGACAAGGCTATATTTATTATCAGTAATTTCTAGTTTCTCTGTGTGTGTACTGCTTGCTTTAGGTGTGTCCAACACCATGTCGGCAAGGCAATCGGATCAGAATGAAGCCTGTTATCTGAAGTCGGAATCATTTCTCGGCCACTATATTACTCTCTCTGTAGCAACCATACCTCATAATTTAAATGCACTTTTCAGGCCAAGGTTATTGATTTAATTCCAGCGTCAAGAGAATCGTCCAGAATCAAGCCAACTGTTTAAAACCCTTTCAGGAACTAGCCACTTGTGCAGTAGGCTAACACAATCAATAGAGTTTCTGGTAGGAGTGTGAGCGGAGAAATTTCCTCATCTGCTTGCCTGCATCTTGGCTACTTGTGTAAATACCGGATATGTTGACGTGGTATATGAGAGATGTATGGGTCTGCTGTACCCTACGTCTGTAACAGAGGCTGGGTCTTGTAAACTGGCCTTTGTCGGATTGAATGACCCCTGGTTATTGCTGTAAGCACTAGATATCAAAGCCTGCTGTCTGATTGCATGAACTGTGTTAATACGTGAGAGTATATAGTAAGCATTGCTGGTGCCATTCTGACTGAACTTTATGATACATACATTATTGGTGTTTACATGAGAGAGATGTTTGTCTGCTATACTGACGCCATTATGACTGAACATACTTAGGTACTGTTTACATGAGAGAGATGTTGCTCTGCTATACTGACACCATTATGACTGAACATACTTAGGTATTGTTTACATGAGAGACATGTTGGTCTGCTATACTGACACCATTATGACTGAACATACTTAGGTACTGTTTACATGAGAGACATGTTGGTCTGCTATACTGACACCATTATGACTGAACATACTTAGGTACTGTTTACATGAGAGAGATGTTGCTCTGCTATACTGACGCCATTATAACTGAACCTATAAGGTATCTCTTACAAGAGAGACATATTGGTCTGCTGATACTGAGTGTGAAATCATCTAAAGTGGATATACATTATCTAGGGTCCCTGGTCATTCATATGCCAGTCATAGGAAGACCTGGGTTGGATGTTCCACCAGGTTCCATTCTTTGAGATGCATGAGTCTGTTGCAATAATATTACGCCTGCAGCAGTTGTGTTTCACTACACCGTCTTGCAGACTTGCATGTATTGGTCCTGAGGGCTGTGACTAAACCCATCTTATCAGCGGTAACACAAGGGATGTACATGCTTGTTCTTCTGGTCCCCAAGGACCTGCTGGCTTGTGCTGGAGTGTGCTGCTCATCGGGAAGTAGTACATCAGTCCAGCAGTGCTCTGGCAGCTCCTTCATTAGACTTTGTTAGGCAGCTCTTTAACTTAGTTTAAGTCTCCTCACATTCGGATTGAAAATGATGTGGTTATTGAGGCTGGTAATCTTTGAAGACATCAATAAGTGGAAGATCAAAGATAATTCAATAAGTCCAGGCTTTGGATCACTTTCCATATTGAAAGTTAGAGTTCTTCGACCTGTTGGACATGTGTGCGCCACTTAAGTGTTGTGGCTTCCTGCTGCTCAGCTTCAGGTCCTCGGCATTTCACATGAGCACACCTAACACACAATGTCATTTTCGTCGATTGTTTTTGCAGTTTCTTCATTTCTGAAGCTTCTGATGATAATGTCATTGGCACATTCTGAAGAACGAATAGTGTGAAACAATAAATTTTACATTCTAATGAAGTCAGTTTTACATCTAATATGATTGGAAATGTTTGCTAAGTCACTTTGATTTGTGTTCTTTAGAATGTCAATTCAAGACAAATTAAGATGTAATGTATTTTTCAATCTTTATGCAATAGTCTAATACCCTAAATTCCAAAAACTTACATACTTATTTTTTTATCCAAAATTGGTCACTCTTGCATTGTGGGTTAGAATTGGTCCTCAGCTACCAATACTGGTAGGAGGCAACCAAAATGGATCGGGTGGACAGACTCAGTGACTTGGTTGATTGCATGTCAGCGTGGATTTTGCTCACGATATCTATCTCTGGATAGTCTCATTCAGGCTCAATTATTTAAAGGCAGCCATAATTTAGCAAGATTATTCATGAATGCAGCTAAGACAAAAACAAAAAACAAACAAAATATGAAATATCATACATCATAACACTCATTGAGGTTTAGAATATAGCCAGCAATATTAAAATAGCTTCTAAATTATATGTTCGATTTGTCCATCTTGGTCATTATGCTATGAGTTGTCTCATCGGATGTGTTTAATTTAACAGTCTCTGTGACACAAGATGCAATCGTAACTCGGAGAGCCGGGGATGCAGTGATGGATGGACACCAGATTGTCTTCGTATTAGTCTACCTGTCAGGTTTATGGCCAAGTGATGCTGATGTAATGACTTCCGCCACCGAGAACTTGGATAAATCACTTTTGTCAGAAGAAATAATTATTTCCATCACATTATTATTTTCCACAAGTCTTGCATGTTGACTCATTATTCATAGTTGATGGTGTTTAGGTGTTTGCGTTTGGTTGTCTGATTGGACTGTGTTGAGGAAGTAAGTTCTGGAATCTATTCTACAAAGGGAATTCGGTGCTATGTCGGTACTCTGTGTTGATGACGTGGGATGTTTAGTTATACAAGATATTCTTTAGGCCTGACCAAGTAATGAACAAGGGTATTTTTAAACTGAATACTTGGAAGACTAATTTTCTATTACTACCTATTCCTATGACTGTTATGTGGATAGCAATTATCGTCTTTAGAAGCTAGTTCCTAAAAGTACAGTTGTATTTGGAGATAGTTGATTAGACAAGTAGCCAAGGTGTTCTACTGGTGTCAGTACTGGTACTTACCTGTGAAGATCCGGGGTAGAATAGGCCTTCAGAGACCCATGCTTGCTGAAAAGGCGACTATGCTTGTCTAAGAGGCAACTATGCTTGTCATAAAAGATTACTAATGGGATTGGGTGGTCAGGCTTGCTGACTTGGTTGATGCATGTCATCATTTCCCAATTGCATAGATTGATACTCATGATGTCAATCACTGGATTGTCTGGTCCAAATTTGATTATGTACAGACCACCGTCATATAGCTCGAATATTGTGCAGCGTTATGCAAGAAACAAACAACAACAGTACTGGTACTTGATGAAAAGTGGAAAATTAAATTTTTCTGTGAGGACTTTTTCTTTTGTCTTTGATAAACTCTTTTCTATATGATCTCAAGTAAAGTTGACAAAATATAGAAAAGGCTTAAGTCAGATGTGTATGTGAGAAAGGCTACAGTGAGATAAGGTGACAACACCTGCAGCAGGAACCTGTGTAGCAGGATGACGGAGATGAGCTGATGGATCACTGCCATTATGACATCCGGTTGCTATAACAAGTCACTCATATTTCTCTTGTAGGTTTTTGTTATGGACCACTATGACATTGACAATGTTGGCAGGGGATACTGCATTCAACATAATAAGGGCCCCGCTCTAATAAGCGCCCACGGCGATATTTGCTAATATATTGGCTAGTGAACAATCCCAATTAGCACCCCTACCGATTGATCAATGTACACAAGACTTATTTATTCTTGTATGATACGCACCCTTAATTATGGGCAATTAAATTCTCGAAAATATATCTATCGTGTATAATACACACAGATTCTTCTTTTATATCATTTCAGGCTGTCAGCATAAACCACAAAATTTACAATCTTTCAACTCTGTTTTTTATCTCACCAAAATTATATTCTAATAAGAGCCCCCTATTTCTATTTTTGAGAGCGCCCGGGGCGCTTATTACGTCAAATACGGTAATGAAATTAGCTCTGTCTGACATGAAAAAATGTTTTATATTTCTGAATGTCATTTCAATCACATAGTGGTCTTGGTAATTTGTCATTTTCAGTTTTTGATTGAGATTTTGTGCTGTTAATTGCATTTTGCATCTCCGAAGATAACTTCTTTAAACACATTTTAGAGCATGACTGACAGGAATGTCAGGGACTTAAGTTTGTAAATGATAACCTTATATAGGCACTGCATATAGAGCGTGACAGATGACTACATCTTGGCATGTGCACTTGCTTCAAGTCATTGCCCAACAGCAGGGGTAGATTTATCAACAAATCTGTATGTTGCCAGCAGGGCTTGCTCCTTTTTAAAGTTACTGACCCTTCTCCAAACTAACTGGCCTACACCTAAATGGTGGAGACCGCAAAAAATGTAACTTAACCAGAGTTGGGTTGAAATTTAGACAAGCCAGAAGTTCATCTACTTTACGTTTCAGCAACCCCTTAGTAATTTTAACTGGCCACGGACCAATGGACCAGCAGTTAGATAGACCCATGCAACAGTGCTTCAATCAGGTTAGTGGTGTTGTCCAGTTGACAGTCTGGTGACCCTGTCATGATGTCTGTATGTATAGTACATCTGACTGACAGTGAGGTGACGATGGCCTAGTGTGTGTTCATGTGGCGTTCTTCAGTCTGTGCGTGATCCTATGTCTGTATAAATGTGATGACTTGACCATGTGATCCTGTATTCCAGCTCTGGCCAAGAGGTTCAGCGTATCAGCGTGATCACCAACCTGCCTGACCTGCTGCAGGACAACCATGCTGACTGTATGCGAAGAGTCGTGCCCAAAGTGCGGGTGAGTTCATGGATTAGCATTCAGTTACTGATCGTCATATATTATCCAAACAGAAGAGTCATGTCTTGCATCATAAAATGTATCTGAAATAAATCATGAAAGAAATGGCAAACACATGTGCAGCCACTCAAATGTTCTACAGACACACAGACATTCATACAGCCACCGACTTCAGCAACCCATGCTTGTAGGAAGAGGCGAATAACTTAGTTGATGCAAGTCATCGTGTCCCAATTTAGTAGATCAATGATCGTGTCCAGATCTTGTCCAGACTAGATTATGTACAGACAGCCTTCATATAGCTGGAATTTTGCTGAGTATGGTGGTTTAATAACAAACAAACATCAGAGTGGAAAACACAGCACAGATGACAAGCTTCAAGCTGACCCTACTTGATATACTGAAATACTATCTGAAACACATTGGCTGTGGTGACTGTCCGATGACAGCAACTATGTGTGCGTGACATGGAGGATATCTGATCTGAATCCATTATCACGGCCAATAGTTTGGATAAAGCCCTTTCATTTGTGACAAAGTCATGAAAGTTGATATTAGGTATAGTAGACAATTGTAATGCAGTCTTTCCCCAAAATGTTTTTGCCCCACAATGTTTATTTGCTGTTGAGGCCACCCACAGCCATATTGCAACTATGTGACATCAGCCTGTAAAAAAAATCAAGTTTGGACCAGACAAACCAGTGATTAATATAATGTGCAACGCTTTACAATGTGGAGGCATGATGACATGCAATGAACCAATTGTCCAAGTTGTCCTTCCCACTCCATTTCCTCGCCTCATCAACAAGCACAGGCGGCCCGTGAAGATTAGGGTTAGAATAGGTCTTCATCAACCCATGCTGTAAAAGGCGACTATGCTTGTCGTAAGAAGCAACTAACGGGATAGGGTGGTCAGGCTCGCTGACTTGGTTGATGCATGTCATCGATCCCAATTGCATGGATCGAGGCTCATGTTGTCAATCACTGGATTGTCAGGTCCAGACTCGATTATTTACAGACCATCGTCATATAAGTGGAATATTGCTGAGTGCAGCGTTAAACAACAAACAAACAAGCCAGGGTACTGGGGACCTGTAAGAACCAGGAATGGCAACAGCACACTTGCCCACAAGTGTCTCTTTATCAGTTTGATTCAAATTTATTCTTATGTATGGACTATTATGAGCCAAGTTTTCTCAATCAAACAATTTTTTTTTACTCTTGCTGATTATCAAATGTCACCAACTAATAATGTGACCAGTTAGAATTGGTCTTCCACAACTCATGCGAGTCGTAAGAGGTGACTAACGAGTGTTTTCCTGCCCCGAGTATCCAAATTCCTGAATTCATGTCCTTTGTGGAATCCTGGAAGCTTTTATCCCCAGATGATATCTGTATTTGCCCTGTATATACACCAACATCTTGTTAAGACCATACCCATTATCTGCTGTAGATGGTGCCCTACTTAACTAAGCCTGGCCCAACTCCACCCCAGCAACAAAACATACATTCCAAACAATTCTTTCTATTTCTGTTAGTTGTTGTCCAATAGATTACTCCATCTGCTCCTGAAGTGACAAGATGTGGCAGATGGATGGGAGAATGTGATTAACTGGCGTGTACTTGCCAGGTCTCCTCAATACACATCCACCATCATCACAATAGACCAATCGTGTGTGGATCCCGGGATCACTGTGCTAAACTGGTCCCATCTGTGGATGCCAGAACTCAGGTGTATACCTGCTGTGGCTGCTGCTCTCTCTAACAAGTGGTTTCTACTCTCATAACACAGCCAGCAGCGCTTGGAGGCTCTGGCATATTGCAAACTGCTGGGGAGAATACCATGGTTTTTTCATGGGAGTGATTTGATTCTGATCCAAGTATCCCCTTGGCTATGGTCTGTGAAATTTGCAATTACGAACAGATCCTCTCAGCTCTGTCTCCTTCTTAGCCTTGATCCAAGGCTGTACTGAGTAAAAAGTCCATGGATGTGTAGCAATTCTATCCTCCTAATGGCAAGTCTAGATATGTGGACAATTTGTAAGGATTCCAGTCTCTTTTCGGGACAATTTGTTCTTATTATTTACATAATCTAGAAATAATGATTTAAGGTCATAATTATTGCCTTAGAGACTTGTGCAAGTCTATCTCCTTTTGTCTGCTCTGTGTATATCTACTGCCACCAAGGCATGACCTGACTAGATGGTCTGTAAAATTTGTTTTATGAGCAGACCCTCGCACTTCTCCCTGCCTGCCCCTGTCCCCAGCTGTACACATCCCTTGGCATCCAGACAGAACTATCTGGCTTGTGTGGTGAACTGCATCTTTAATCACTGATAGTGTTTCCAAGTCATTGCACATCGAGTCAGGCCTAAAGTAGAAGCAGTGGCTGAGACTACCTTGGTGTTCCCATGTAACTCGATGGGATAATTTGGCATCGTCTTCGTCACTTTATCTATTGAAGAAATAAGGCTCAATTAGAAGACAGTTGTGTAAAATGAAGAGAAACTGTATTAAACAAGAGTCTTTTGATATTACATGGTATCTATTTAGAATTCAGCAGTAGAAGCTAACATTTTTTGTCCACTAGTCCTTATAATGATATCATAGCAAAACACTTTAAAATTAGCAAATTTGTACTTATCCTTATGATACCTTTACTATTGGACAGTTTGGCAGGGACTACAGGAACAGTGCCAATTTCTAACGCTGGAATTTAATTAGAGAGTCAGTTTGATAGTTGGCATACATTACAATAATTATTGTTATAGTAGTAATAATGAGGATGATGATATAATCAATAGCCCTGATTATGTTTCCCGACTTTTATCCTATCTGTGTCTTGTGTGATGAGATTCATATGTGATGTAATAATACTAATATGTTATATTGGGGTAATTATTACTGAGGGAGCCCCTTATTCTGAGGCCACCACCCTGATGGTGTGACCCCCTTCTTTCGTTGGGGGTACTAACCCCATCCTCGTTACCCCCTGTATGTTATCTGGGGGGATATGATAATCAGATTGTCTGTCTGTCTGTAATCATATTTTGTCTGTATTATAATAGGTATTCTTTCATGAAAGTTTAAAACATAAAGACCAGGTTGTCAACTGGTACCTTTTGCTATTTGGGGATTTTTAGAAGAAGAAAAAAATCCTGTTTCCACAGCAACAAGTCTGATAATGTCCCTGTTCATTGTGGTGTGTTTGTCCGGACCATATCTCTTAAAACTGTATACTCTTTCATGAAACTTTACACACACAAAGACCAGGTTGTCAGTTGGTGCCTTTTGCTATTTTGTGATTTTTAGAATTTTTCTATTTCTATATTCCATGGCAACGGGTTTGTCTTTGACTTTGGTCAAACCACAAGATTGTCTGGATAGCTATTCACCAGTGAAGTTAACCAAAGAAAAAGAAGGGAAATGTTCACTATAAATATTTATATTAATATTCCTATTAAGTTGCAATATATAAGATTTCATAAGTTTAATGAGAAAGGTAACTATTGATACATTTGGTAATGCAACATATTACGGCATAAGCCATGCACCAACTGTGTGCCATCCACTAACTCATATCCAAAGAGATGTTTGAAGAATTAATTGATTTGGTTCAACAACGAGCAGCCATTCTTGGGACCAAATATGCCTCTGCCTATCCCAACGCTACTTTCTCAACATGGCAATACACAAAATACACATGACAACAGCAAAACATTCTTCGTCAGTAGCTTCCATCTTGGCAAGACAACTCCCACCAAAACTTTGATGGCCTGTCCTAAAAACTTTGATGAGTGTAAACACAAAAGTTTTCTTTGACCAAGTTTTTTTTATTAATCATCCTCTGAGAATGTGAAATTTTCCTTGTGTTAACAGGTTTTGGGTTTTGAGGGACTGCAAATTTACAAACAGAAATATATTGGAAGATCATTGGTTATGGAAACGTTGAGGCCATGATACAGTGTTTTGAAAAATAATTCTTTTAATTGAATCCCAAAATATGGCCATTTGGAATGAGAATTTATGGGATATTGTGCTCGCCGCAGTTTAATATCAAGTTTATGTCCCGAGTGAAATAATTTTCAGTTTGCCCGATTTTTTATGAGGGACATTAAATTTGATATCAAATATAAGCGATTGTAATATTCTGTTTATTACCACAGATGTAATTTGATAAGGATTGAACAAAACAGCTTTTCTGTTTGTCTATATAGTCAATAAGAGAAAGGTCAAGGTTACATTTTTCCAACAAACCATAGCAAAACTTGCCAGTACACACATATATATACTGTCGGAAATGTTTCATTGACAGTATATCGGATGATCCAATGGATGCCTATGGCACATTTATGCCTCTTATTTCGACCAGATGAAATCATGCTAATAATGTTTGACACTGACAACCTTGCTGTCTTTCTCGCTGCTCGGCTTTGGATGATGAAAATGACCATGTATCAAGGACTATGTGGTGTATTTTATCATAAAGGTAACATGCAGCCTCACGTTCTGTGGTTTATGGTTTAAAGATCATGGACATGAACGTATAATGCCTTGGAAACTTGGAGTTTGGCGCGAGCTGGCAGTATAAGAAACAGTGATGTCACACAGCACATGTTGCTCCAGGTGCTCTTCAGAACAGCTCAGGGAGGAATTTCGTTTGTAACTTAGATTTGTTACTTGTAATTTGTGTTATGTCAGTCGAGGGGAAATAGTCCGACTGTGTAGCTGCATCCCAAATTCTTAGTTATTCTGACCCATGGGAACTAGCACACTGTCTTTGAGAAAATACATAATCACCTCCGTATTCATATTTAAAATAGGACATTGCTTTTCTGCTAAAGCGCTAAAGCGCTTAAGCGCTTAAGGGCTTAAGCATTTGATGATAAAATTACAAATTATTAGTGCTTCAGTTTGTCTTCCTTTTGTTGGTTGCACTTCCAGCATAAACAAAAAGCAGTGTTCTTGTGATCAAAATGTGAATATTGCGAATGTAGTCT